CATATAATATTCAATAAAAATTATTTAAATATTAGTACGTGCAATTCTGTCTTGATCCGTGCCGTTGCTGCCGGTGTCACTCGGCGCGGAAACTTTTCGTTTTTCTTTTATTACGTTCCTTTTTTTTCATTACTTTGCAAACGGAGACGCCGACGGGCGCGCCATAATAATGGTAGACGGTAAATAATTCAAACGATTCTCCTTGCATACAGTGACATTCGTCATTTCTATCGTTCACTTGAAATAAATTTGCGTTTATCGAGGAAAATTTACACCTGGATGATTTTAAAGAAACGTTCGACCGAATGATTTATTTCCTGTCCTTCCCGGTTCCCAAGACCAAGCGAGCAAAATGGCGGACATTTAATGTAAGAGTCATGCAGCGCATTAGTCACTTTCTTTTCTATTTTTGGATGTTCTTACTGAGTACGTATCAAGTGAAACTTGACTTCGTTTGTTTTGTTATGTTCCTGTTCATTGAATTTATCGTTTAACGGTTTTAAATAAGTTTCTCTCCTAGCTGCTGCATTGTTCGTTCGTTGTAAGCACAATAGAATCGAGTTCAGTTTCAGTCAACCGGAGTACGTCTTCCGTAATTTTGTAAATTGCCGTTGAATACGGCTCCCGTCGTAAATGGAACGTGCATTTCGCTGCAAAAGGGAAATCTTAATTTACGTAACATCTGGTCTCCGGGAAAGTGTCGAAGACATTACCGGCAACGGTGGTAATCGCGGACGAAAGAACATGGCTCGCAATACGCGCAAAACAACGAAAGAATTTGATTGCGAATAAACGCAGGAATGTGAAATTCAACTTGACGATCGATTTTACTGAAATGTTTCATTTTATCCTGGATCACTCGACAAATATATTACTTCATTTCTCTGTTAATCGATTAGTGAGTTAATTCCCCTGGGTCCTTTACAGGAATTACTTGATCCAAATAAGAATTTTACATCGTTTATATTATATTACTGTGGAAGTCGAGTATTTTTCATAAAATTCCGAGTTCCTTCAAATATTTACGACCTGTTGCATTTAACGAATAGCTTCGAAAATAAATATTCATATAATTTATTGATTTCGTCTTTTGACGAGATATTCGAATCGCGTATGGCTCAGTAACATTGATAAACTTTCCTCGTTTATTATACGGAACCTAATGCCGGAAATGTTTGCTTAAAATGGTGTCGCGAGCCCCGCCTTTGACTTTCTTCACTTCTGCTGAAGTCGTCGCTCAGCGAAACCGAAGTTTGGTTATCTTGCCAACCAATCAGGCAGTTTGCAGCCTTCTGCAGTTCTCTCCGTTTATTTTATGATGGGATAGGCAATTACTATCATGGTGGAATGGATGTTGGAAAAAAGGTGGGAACTAGGTTCATTTCGCCAGGTTTATTTCACAGGATGTTGTTTCATTGTTACTGCCAGTTTGACTAAATGTCTTTTTTAAAAAATTGGAACACGTTGTGAATACTTGGAATACTCTGTGAAAATGAACAATTTGAATATTCAAAAATATTCATGTTCAATATTCAGTATTAACCGTTTGACTGCCGAGGAGCGCTATCGCGCAAGCAAACCACTCATGTAAAGGGTCATAAAAAATTATTTGTGTTAATTTGAGTGAATTATAAGTGCTTTTTACTAATTTTGCAATATAAGTGAGTTTATTTTATGAAAAGTGTTTTCCATTTTTTCCCATACACGCGCAATTAGTGCCGCAATTTAAATAACTTTAAATTTAAATACCTTTAAATTTTTTTAACTTCAACTAAAATTTCTTTAACTTTAACTTTAAACATTTGTTGAACACAAAATTGAAGATTTCTAGTTTGAGTGAAGAATTCACTGAAAATTGATGAAATTGAATAAAGAACTTTTCATTGAGACTAACTGTTTACATATGCTTGCCTAGCCGTGTATTTATAATAAATTGCCACTCAAACCTCCGACATTTTTACGTGCTCCCATTAAAATGCCACCTTTAAGTAACCTTCTTTCGAAGCACACTAAATGATTAGATCTTCCTACATTTCCTTGCTGAAAGGTTGCGCGCTGTGAGCGTGAAAATTGTATAAGCTTCAGGAAGAGCGATCTGGAAAGTCTGATCTGAACTTTTTAAAATCTCATTACGCTATACAGCACTTCCACAGAACTATGATCAAACGATACGTACTTCGAACTGAAACGAAACTTATTACCGACGAGACTAACTTCTAAATTTTACCAATTAACTGTCTAACCCTAACGCCTAAAGATGATGTTTCCAATTCTAATCTCTAAAATGAAACTCCTAAGTCCCGTATTCACCATTTAACACGCTGCTATAATTTTCGAAACTTTCCCCATCAAATTAATGAAAAATGTTTATGAAGTAACCGAAAAGCACCGTTGCTTTTAAACCGTCAATACTGTTTATTCGTAAAACTCTTAAACGTCTTAAACTTTCAAACTTTATAATTAAACTGATAATTCCCCGAGCGTCCGAATCAATATTCTGAAAGCCTTCCAAACGAGATACATAGTTAAAACCGTACAGCTGAAACTAGATGCAAATTGCATTCATGAGTGCACATAAACGTCAAAATAAATAGTCCATTTATTACTTGAGGTACACACGCGTTTCACGGAACCCTGAGAAACATGGATTTCCCGTGTTCCCGGTAACCGTAAATAAAACAAGAAAACAGATTTGATTTAGAAATAAACTGCGGATACAAATTTCCGTACAGGAACATATGGAAATAGTGTTATTAAATTTCTCACCTTACAATATCGACTGGGACTGATCAAATTCTGAAACTGAATTTAATCAATATTAACACATATTTTTAACTATTACACATATTAACACATATTTTAAAAACATATTTTTTTTCAATGCTGTGGTAATTAGCGAAGTTGCACAGCTAAGTGTCTTTATATAAAAACGAGATTTCTCGTTTCCGGTACGCAATATGTTTCAAGTCAAAATTAAATATAACATTTCTCTTCTGAATATTTTACATTTACGAAGCTAATTATTAATTATTAACTAATTACGAAAAAACTCGTAAGGCAAGGGTTTGAACATTGTAAAACACATAATTTACTCTAACTCTACATTAAATATAATTATTAACCCGATCGAGAGGTGACTCTCAATCATCACTAGATTTGATATATCAAAATTATAATATTATATATAACACTATGCTTCGTACAATGTATCGAAATGCAAAATATTGAAATGAAATAGCTATGTTTCTTAATTTACGTACGTTCTTCCGTTTGATAGCGTTGAAGAACGTCGTTTATATCTGATTGAGAAATATTGCAGATTTCTAGTGGAAAACTGTCGAGTGGGAATGGTTAATTCATATACTATAAATAATTTTATTAACAGGCAAACATTCTTTTAGAGAGTTTGTAGGTAATTGGAGAATTAAAAATGTTTATCGCAGTTAGTGCACCTCTGATTTTCTAAAAGAATTTCGGTTAAGGTAATTAAATGGTAAATCATGTTCGTCTTGCAGTTATTAGTTGTTATTAAAATCATCGACACGTGCGATACGCGTATTCTGCACAAGGTAGAGGGGTGGTCGTCAAGAGGTTAAGTAGTTCTGCATCAGCCAAGTAGGTCAGTCAAGTAGATCCGTCTGCCTCAGATTATACAGACAATAGTTGTCAAGTGTTTCAATTGCTTCGTCTAGAAGCTTCCACTTAGCATCCTAATTTCCGTTGTAACCAGTGCGAAGTTTTCGTACATAACTACGTCACCGTGTATATAGCATTACTTGTTACATTAATCTGATCTCTCGAGACGAGAAATCGATAATTACTCTAGACTAATTGTTTCGGTGATCCTCACCTTATTATTCTTCTCAGTCAATACTTTTAGAATTCATTGTATAAATTAATTTCACTTAGAATTGAATTAATTCATAAAGTATTAACGCAGAATTGATTTTTAATTTTTCACATTAACCAATTGTGTTTTAATGGTTACATTGTTACAACAAATTTTCGTTAATATTTCAGTTTTCTTTAATTATATCAGCTTAAGTGATATTAATAACATTATGGAAACATGAATGTTTTTCATTTTAACCCTTTGCTATACAATATCGTGTCACACTCGAGGGGAAGATATCAAATTGAAATTAAGAAAATTGAGATTTATTTGTTTCTGTTCATTTCTATTTGATTTCTTCCTCTTGAGTCTGATATGATATTGTACAGCAAAGCGTTAAAATAAAAAAATATTTATGTTTCCATAATGTCATTAATACCACTTAACCTAATATAATTAAAGAAAACTGAAATCCTAATGAAAATTGAGATTTATTTATTTCTGTTAATTTCAATTCGATATCTTCCTCTTGAGTCTGGCGTGATATTGTACAGCAAAGGGTTAAAATAAAAATATTCATGTTTCCATAATATCATTAATATCACTTAACCTAATATAATTAAAGAAAACTGAAATCCTAACGAAAATTGAGATTTATTTATTTCTGTTGAGTCCAAATTAACTGTTATATTTTTGTTATCGAGTATTATATTTTAAAGTAAACTTGGATATAGAGGAACATGAAGTTCCTCTTTGTTTCTAG